CATCCAGATCAATGCATGGTGGAGTCTACTAAAGTTACATAGGGTGAAAGGGTTAATTCTGATCAGTGTCATATCCGTAGTATGTGGCGACTCTTCCTCACCACCGTGATTATGTAAATAAAATAACTATATTAATGTATGTTTGTGATAATGGCAGTCATTAATTTCTGCATGTGGTTTAATTTTTTATTTATTTTTTATTTAATAAAACCTGTTTAATCTGACAACCTGCAGGATACAACATAATATACTTTTCACATTGAACAGGATTTCAGAATACAAAGATGTTTGTTGGTCATCTACATTACAAACATATGATTTAAACATTATGTTGGGTAGTAGACAGCATGTTGGTTTATGTGGGAGTTGGATCAGACAGAATTCCAGAATACATAAGGGTCGGATTAGGCAGGTTTCACTGTAGTTATGAACATAACACTGTGTTACCATGTAAAGTGTAACACCACATACACATAGAACATATGTCAGGTTTGAACACAAGCATATATCTGACACGTAAGTGAAAATTGGAAAAAACATTTCCAAACGTTTTCGGGCTGAACAGACCATGGTGTGAGATTCTTGACCTAACATTGTAGACACAAAACAAATATTATTGCATTTTGAAGCAAGTACATCTTTACCCACAATAATACATTTGCTTTATGAGGAGCTCAGAACAGACATGTGAGATTCCCATCTTTTAAATTATCGGGAAAAACAAAATTAATATTGTATGTAGGATTTGAACAGTGTTGTCACACACACATATTCTGACATTTTAATTATCACAGACATTTAGAATAGTTCTGGTACCAATGGTAACTAATGTTAAAGAAAACAGAATTTTCCAAAACGAAAAACTAATTTCACGAAACAATAGCACAGGGGTGTAACCTTTATATTTAAAATACTATCCCACCAGCTGAAGCAGGTTTTCAAAATAGTTTACCGGCCCGACCAGTAGACATAGTAAATATTGCAAAGTTTCACTAGGCGAGACATCAAATATTCTAGTATGAGAATCCTCATTGTGATTTTTGAACAACTCATCTTCCATCCTTGATACTCCATGGGATGTGTACTAGCTTATTTACACACATACCCGGTTAGTAAACATAAGCCCTGGAGTAATAAAGACACTCATAATCCTGATTGGTCATGTTTCATGTACAATACAAGTGGTTTATATGTAAAAAACTTCTCTACCCTAAACTAAATCATAATTTCTGGGAAAACTTTTAATTTAATTTGATGGAAAAACTGTTTTTTGTTTTTCTAAAACATTATTTGTAGTCGGTAAACAAACTTCTGACATGTTTGTCCATGAAAATATCGGCATTTCTTTTTTGATTCATGTGGTTTGAGATTAAAGCCTTCCTCTATCAAATCAGTTTCCAAGCATTTCATGAATAGTTCTTCATCGACTGCGGCTGACCAAGGTCCGACAGACAAATGAGCATTTTCTACAACACAGCCATGACTAAGATTAAAATTTGGCACCTTGGGTACAAATTCTGTACGAAATACATACAGAATTACCTCCCCTTGTCTGTTAACAATGGCGTGGTCTACAGCAAGTTGAATGACGTTGTTCTTAACCTCATAGTAGTTTGGAAACTGTTGTCTGTGAGCCTCCCGAACAAGGAGTCTGGCTACTTCTGGCTTGAGCTGAAGTTTCTCTATGAGATGTTGAATGCCGTAATAATTAGCCTCTTTATAAACTGCCACAGACACATGGTTAGGAGGAGCCGAGCCGTTACGGAGAAACTCCAGAATATATCCAAACATGGAACCGTTACTGTCTAGAAAGTAGTTACCGTTCTGGTCCTTGTCAACAGCATGGCGACCGCTGAACAGAGCGGCAAGCATCGAGTCTGGGTATTTACAGAGCGTAGACAGACGAGTGACGTATTTGACGCCACCGACGTTGAGAGGAATTACCGGCGGAAACTGTATGTTCTGGTCGGGGTCCCGATACAGTCTGGGAGTAGAAACTGGCAATTCTTGTGACTATAAATAAAAATGTTACAAGAGCTTATTTAAAAAAAGTAATTGTACAGATGATATCAATGATATAAACACAGCAGAGCATAAACAAACAATCAAAATACCAATAAGTAAACATTTTGATTACATTTCATACTCAACAATACAAATTCCACACCAAATTAATTCTTTAAAAATATAGTCTGCAGTCTGCAGCCAATAATGATAAAAATCTAGGGTAATTTTGAAGTATAATCAAAATTCGCGCCTTGTATTTGAGTTTTTATGGACAATCGATATGTATCCATAACAAATGAAACAAACAAATTCATGGAATTAATATCCCCCACTTGCAGGACATATTGTAGGTCAACATATTGAGGTTAGGTTTAAACATGTGAGTATCGCGCTGTTGAGACA